CCGATAATAAATATAAATAAGACAATCTGTTGACGAATTTAAATAAAAAAATTAGGATAATAAAAATGGATCTTGGTTTTCGAACAGCTCTCGTACAATTTACAGCGATTGCGACGTAGTATAGACGCGCGTGCAAAGTTATACAGTATCGGTGGCCAACAGTGCATAGTTTTACTTATCAATTCGGGCCAATATTATCCCCAGCAGATGAAAATGTGAAGGACAGCGCGATGCAGTGCAGTAAGGAATAGATGCAGCGTGCATGCGTCCAAAATAGAAAACTAGCGTTGATTAGAGGTTGTAAGTACATCGGGTGAAATATTATGTATCATCCATGCGAGTTACGTATTTCAGGTACAAACACGTAAGCAAGCAAGCAGCAACAAACACACACATGTACAGGTACACGGTATACGTATATGTATCTACATAGTTTTATAAATATAACGTAATAAGAATGGTAGACTGATTGGCTATATTGTACGTCTTTATGTATTTATCTATTTACTCTTCTCGGAGAATATACAGGATGTTCAAAAGGATTTAATTCATTGGGTAGCACCTACATATCATCCTTGTATATCAGATAATTAGGTACCTAAACAAATATCACTCTAATTTTATTTCGAAATAATGTACCTACATGACCTACATGTTTTAAAAATAAAAGATTTTATTTATTTCTAACTAATATGGCTGGGTGGTGCATTTTAAGGTTACAATCTTTGATTTGATTCTTATAAATAATATCTGGAAAAGGTTAGGAATAATCGGAAATTGTACAAAAAAAGACGTTGAAAAATGTGGTTGTTTTGTACAGCTACTTGGTTGAGCCGCCACTGACCTGAGCGCCTTATATATATATACATGTGGGGACGCTCACAAAGACAATTCGAGTCGCAAAAACATTTCAAAATTAGTGGGTACATAAACTTAAAAAAGGGACAAATGTAAATAAGTGACCTAAAAGGGGACCTTTTACAGTAGGAAACTATGAACAATTCTTCGTTTTTCTTTTAAGTATTTATTCATAAAGAAATTATTTTGTAAATAGGTTAATATCAATTTCAGTAATAGGTACTGCATCAGCCTATTGAACAGGTATATTATATAAAACTAAAGATATAGAAAGAACAGTATATGTATGTCTATATACCTATGTTTGTGGTGAATGGGGACTATGCCAAAATTCTAAACAGCTAATGATTACATAAACTTTTTTGACTGAAAAATATTTGAGAAACTAATTTTGCGCGGGCTTAGAATGTCGAGAGGCATCTGCCACGCAAATTGCTAATAAAAGTAACAATGTAGTTCTATTCCAAATCATTTCAATGTTATTTCTGCGCAATAGATGGCGACATCACGTGCATAATACTTTTTTTAACATTAAAAATCGCAACAGTTTCTATCACAAACAAAAAACAGATTTGCATGTCTTTTTGTTTTTAATTTTTTAATATCATAATTTTATAATCTTAAGGCATCATTAGAATGTCGAGAGGCATCTGCCACGCAAATTGCTAATAAAAGTAACAATGTAGTTCTATTCCAAATCATTTCAATGTTATTTCTGCGCAATAGATGGCGACATCACGTGCATAATACTTTTTTTAACATTAAAAATCGCAACAGTTTCTATCACAAACAAAAAACAGATTTGCATGTCTTTTTGTTTTTAATTTTTTAATATCATAATTTTATAATCTTAAGGCATCATTAATAAATGCATCGCAAAGCATACTTACATTATTGCATTTATAAAACTACAAAAATTCATTCGGTAAAAGTTTATTTTCTAAATATTTCAAACAATTTAGTAAATGTTTACATCAACTGATTTGTCGAAAAGTTTTAGATATTTTTCNTAAAATGCAAATACAAAATAAAAAATACCTATTTTTGTCTTGTATTTATTATATATTTAATTATTATATTATTATTATTTTATACTTAAGTAAATGTAGAAAATTGAATACTACAAAAAAGTATTAATTTCGAAGAAGTATTTTGAAAATACGTATTTTACATTTGAAAGAACAAATCAAAATAGTATTTGCATTTTGTATTTAAATACTTTAAAAAAAAACATTTTACACATCTCTGGAAATAACTAGATGGACTAAAAACGAATGACGATGATACATTATTGATAAAAAATGTAAAAATTAAAGAACGACTATACTTCTCCCAGTTGGGTGTAGTATTCGAAGAAATGGATGCAAAGCTACTGAGATACCACCAGCTGTGTTCACTAGTAAAAAATAACAGAAAACACAGGGTGGCACCCAGTACCTAGGCATCAGCAACAACTACACTCACTCGGCCGTTAAACGTTATCTTCTTCTTGGTTACACATCAGCCACCACCCACATTATTTGTTGTCCAAAAGTAAATTCAATTATTATCGTTATTTGTTGCGAACAAGTACATTCTTTGAGCATTTTTATTCCAGTAAATTTGGCCCATGATCATCAATTACAAATTATATTAGAAGTCTTGTAACGTTTACTAAATATACCTTACCACAATAGAACTTTAAACTGAAACTTCTATAACTGGAAATCTTTTCTAATTCGAATATTTCTTGGTTCCAAAATTTGGCGACGTATTCGCAACAAAAATTAAAAAGTTTGACGCTAAAGCAGAAATTTTCCTTTTTATTTAGTACTTCTTGTTAGACACTGTAGGTATTATAATTATAATTTGTCCATGCATAGGAAGTTTTACACATGTAATAATTAATTAAAAACGAGAATGAGAATAAAGGCAACGTAGACATAAAAACCTCGATAACTTTAATTATTACTGAAATAAGGAGCACACGGAATTTAATTTTAACCTTTTAAATGTCCTTGTATAACAGAATCGATAACCAGAAATATAATAAACCAGGAAGGAACTTCCAATTACGTATAGGTACATAAAAATGGAATTCATTAATTAACCGTCTCTTCACTTAATCACAACTAATTACAATCAGGTCTTATGTAAAGACATTTTTAACATACATCAGTTTAGTTGTTTATTAGTACCTAAAATTCATTTTATAATTAGAATTTTGCTAATTAGTATTTATGATTCTGTCCAATAATAATTAAATTCTTTAAAATAAAGGTTTTCATATTGCAAAATGAAACGTTTAATGAAATTGCTGTGTAAAAAAATTATCTATTATTTCATTGTTTTTTGAAACAATTAAATGCTTAAGCCGCTATAACTCCGTTAAAAATTGTAAAATGCGAATTTGTTCCGTTTAGGCTGCTGCAAATTTTGATACAAAAAGTAACGCATTTGGATAATTTTTAAACATTTGTTTATAAAAACAATGAAAATTTTNTGAAAAACTTTTATTGAAACTTTTTTTCCATATCTTTCATATTTCACAAGATAATCAAATTTGCAATTGTTTTTGCGGATTTTCTCCCACTTTATGCCGGGCAAATAATTTTTATATACATATTCGTGTTCCTCGCGAAATTTCCAATAAAATAACCCGTGTTTCAATCATTTTCTCCATTATAAGGTATTCTTCAGCCATTTCCCTCATTGGACTGACGGACTATTGACGAAACACCGAAAGATAGTCCTTTTTTTATTCGATCACAACGTTTGTTAATATCAATATCTATGATAAAGTTATAAAGTATTATTTATTGTGAAGATATAAAAGTCCGGGATTATTTTGTTTTACAATGCAGCTTTCCACAGAAACATAATATATTATAACGTTTTCAGGCGTATGTTATTGTTATAACAATAACTGAAAAAGGATTAAAATTCTCATTGTATGAGTCACCTTTTTCTACTATCAATCGATATCGCGGAACGGTGAATTAAGCAATAATAAAATCGACATTAAAATGTTTACATTTATCATACAATTAGAACTTGGACATTCCTTTGTGTTGTCGAAATACTTAAAACATGAAAATATGTTTAAATAACATTTAGTAACTACACGACACATTAATTAAAGTTGTTATTGATTTTTTTTTCTTTTGTAAATTTGTAATGTAAGAATTGCAAAAAAAATTAACACAATTACTCTGTAGTTTTCTTAAATATAGATAATTTATTATGCAATACAATAGTAAATACGTGTATTGCGCACTGAGGGAAGAAAGTTCTGGCTTAAAACATATTTGCTGTCATTTATTTTCAGTTCATCGCAAAACACTCTTTACTTAAACGAGTCAATTATAATAAATTGATGTGGTACATATACAGAAATACATAAATATTATAACAGCGAAAAATTTGTTTAGTTAGGTTTCTGGGGAAAATTAGCAATTTTCTTTAGTTATGAGTTTTCCACCTAAATTACAAAATACGAATGAGCTTCATTGACAATAAGACAACAACTTTATAAAATCTGGGAGGTAAAAGTTTGAAACGCCGTAGGTAACAAATTAAATTAAATTTAAATGTGAAATAATTACAGTGTAAACTCTATATAACGACACTTAAGGGACTGAACAGTTTTCGGCGTTATAAAGAGTAGTCGTTAAATGGAGAGAAATAAAACATATTATTTTACTATTCTATAATAATAATATGCATTTACCAATATAGTACACATTTTGCACACGAACATTATTATTCATACATTGCGTATAGCTTGTTATCTTCGTTTGATGTTTTTTGCTGCACCAATATTTTTGTATTTTGTTACGCATCTTACTCATATCTTGAGGTACTGCTGGATCAACTTGATTATATAAAAAGTATCTTTTTAATAGTTTCGCTGCATCATGTGCTTGTTTGATGCTTGGTGGAGGGACAGGATCGTCTTCTTCAACAACGTACACAGCTGCAGTTCTTATCTATTTCCGCAACTTAGAAAGTACTGCTCAATGATTTATAATGCCGCATTGTTGTCGTTAAATAGAGTGAGCGTGACGCTATATAGAGTGTAATATTGCATAAAAAACAATGTAAACCAACCAAAGTCAAGCAATTTCGACGTTTTAAGAAGTTTGTCGTTAAATCGAGTGACGTTATAAAGAGTTTACACTGTGTATCATATATTCACAAAGTTTAACTGAAATTCCTGTTGTGTTTAGTGGGAACAACTCCTTGTATTAGACTGTCAATTTATTTTATAAATACACTTATTTTTACCTAATAATACGCGGCAGATATACTATTAGTCAATAAATTAAGTAAATATTTTAAAAAAGTACTTACAATCTGCTCGACGGTTCAACAGTAGCTTCATCCCCTTCAATCCTGTAAACTTTTCCGGACATGACGTACTCAAAGCTATCCGCTCGCGATCCCTCGCTTTCCAACCCCAACGGGTTCCAGTCGACCCCGTCAGGGTACCCGTCCTCTCTCAAGGTTGTTGCAAGCACTAAACGGAATTTATCGCCTGGAAAACAGAAAAATTATTGTACCCACAAAATATTAAAATCCATTCTGTTAATCAATAAATAGGTTAATCTTAGCATCTTCATCAATGATTTTTTTTAGTAACGATTACATTAACCAACTAATAAAAATATAGATGCATCATTAGAAAACTCAGTATCTATACCTATCTGCAAGCAAAAACGTGGAATAAAATCTAAGAGATGCTGCTAGAAATCTTGACGTAACAGATACGAAAAAATTAAAGATGTCAGGGTTTAGCAGATGAAATGGATTTCGGAAATGCTTTTGAAACGAATCATACGAGAGTTGACGTCATTTAGATCTATCTAATGTTTATTGTTCTATCGTATGTCTTTATAATATAAAGTCGTATTTACTGCACTTATTTCTTAATCTATTAAGACGTTATTACAGAGAAAAAGAAAATAATTTCAATGCTAATAAAGGCGGCTCGCCCGACGAATATTTTTTTTGAAATGGAAACCTACCTAAGTACTAAAATCATCTGGCAATTTTACAGACAAAACTGCAAGGTTGTCGCTGTGTCTATTTGACATTTTATTATTTTATTTATTATTATTCAACATTCAATTAATTATTAATTATTATTAAAAGTGTTCTATTAAGATTGGGAAGAGTGGAATTAATTTTATACAATAAAAGTGCGGAAGTATTATCAGTTGCATGAGGTTATGCTAATGATGCCATAACTGTTTTTTTTTGCATAATCTCTGTTTTTAGAGAGGATTTGTCAACAGTGACTTGATATATGATGTCATTTATACCTATTAATGACGTGATAATCTCATATAACTGTTTTTATTTTGTATAAAATACAAAGGGCGAGTTGACAACCGATCATAGTGATATACTATATATCAAAAGGCGGAATCATCTTTTGAAAAATACGACGTGGTACAGGTCGGACGAAGGAAGCTGGCGAGCGATCGCGCAGGTACTTGCCCATTTATGACCTATTTGGGTAAGTCACTTGGAACCGATACACAAATAAGCTTTCAGTAGGCGTAAATTATAGTATTAATACAGGTGGGACAGTAACTAGAAAATAATGTACAAACATAACTTACCAAAAATAAAAAATAAACCTATTGCTTTTGTTTTAAAGTTAGTTTTCGCATTCACTGTCATCATGGGAATCTCTATAACTGTCACCAACATCAACAATTACTTCTTCTGTTTGTCTGTCTATTACTTGCTCACTGATCCCTATTTTTAAATATTTAATCTACGCCACTGATAGGAATACTGAAGAAAGAGGGCTGCAATCGTTATACCTAAAACTGCCTACTTTTTCCACAGCGCATCCACGCCATTTTAAAATTTCCGCCAGCTTCCAGCGTCAGGCCTGTACCTATGTTCAGAAAAAGAAATTCAATACAAATACCCCTTCACCCATATTTTTTTATTGAAAGATTTGGACAGTTGAATTATAGTTTAGGATTGTTTTCGTACGACAAAATACGTAGTAAAAATACCGATAAAAAAAAATGTGTAATTTCTATGTACAAATATACAGCATTTTCTTAATACTCAATAGTAACAAATGTTAATCATAAATCATAATATCATCATGGTAAAATCAGGTAAAGCTCAAAGCACTACTGCTTACGTTTATTAATCAAAAAACACATGAAGTTTAATTAGCAATCATTATTTTATCTTAACATTAAATTTTAATGCAACATCTCACATAATAGATTATGTAGACATATAACATCATATTGTGTATAAGTATTATCGTAAATTAGAAAACAGCGCTTTAAATACCACACTTATATCCCAATAAACACCTGTTTATACTTAAATCGTCTTATTGCGAGTATGTTATGTAGATTCGTACTTCCATTTATGTAAATGTACTTAGTACATATATACATGGTTGTTTGCAATTATCTGTGTGTATAATTATTAACGGCAGTGTGGCTATTGTCAATGTTACGGGAAAGACTTGGGTACGTTAATGTTATTTATTATCAGTCAGCGCTTCTGCTGTTACAAATACATAACTAAATTACTTACCGAATGCGCATTTACTGTGAATTCTCAGTTTAATTTTAACGCAATGTGTAATTAAGTAAACGGCAAATACATAGGTAGATTTGGTATATAGGTACCATATTTAGTTATGGTTATTTTCCATATATATGATATATATTCACACAAATAATTTTGTAACTTAAAACATACCAATTGGTTTCGTGTTACAGCGGGGTTACCCTGACTATGTATACCGTTCGGAAAAAATTATGTTATTGACAAATCTTTCCATATTTTACATTAAATTGTTTAAGTCAAACCAATATAGGTGTTAAAAGTACTGTATTTATTTAAAAAGCCACATCCGACGTTTCGCCCAGGTTGTTGGACTTCCTCAACGATAGTTTTATATACACAGTTGTTATCTAAAAATGTAATGCCAATGGATTTGATTAAGTGATACAAGATCAAGAACTATTAACAAGAATTACTCAAAACTTTGTAAACATTGCAAATAATATGTCATAATAATCTTAACGTTAGTTAGTTATTTTAATTTTTATTTACACAAAGTTTTGAGTAATTCTTATTAATGGTTGTTGATCTTAGAGCATGTACAACTTAATCAAATCCGTCAGCATTACATTTTTTAACTATATAAAACTACCCTTGAAAAACCCCCACAACGTTGGCGAAGTGTCGGCTATTGTTTATTAAATAAATACAGTATTTTTAACCCCAATATTGCTTATTAGATTAGTGTTTTTATCCAACAAATAGCGTCGAAAACGTTTGTTATATTAGGATGGATGAGGTAGGAACTTATTTACAGTCATCAAAATATTATAGCTAAACAGATAAGATATGAGAGAAATTAAATTAATTAATAGGTTATTGATAAATAAGAAATGCAAACTGTTAATTCTCTACAATGATTACAAAAGACAATGAGTGCCTAACTTGTCAATGACTATCATCACTATCATTTTATCAAAACACATCGTGTAGTAGATTCGCTGTGTTCGATTAAAATATTTTAAAATATCACTAGTATTAGGCGTAATGTTTTTAATCAGTAGGTATATTATTGTTGATTCATAAATATGAATTGTAACGAAGCAAGCTCGTCATTTTGACTTTAAATCCATTAATTAAAATTATCTTAATAAAGTAATCAGTACCAAGTTGTTTTTACGTGTAACTTATGTATGCTACACTATTTAATTTATTTTTACATATTAATGGTTAGGTTATACCGGTTGCCGTTAATTTCAAATATGATTGGGACAACCTTATCGAACTCAATAACATGGAAAAATTAGGTGTAATTTCATTCTGTCTATACATATTAGGTATCCCAGATATCATTAGGCCATCAGTCCTAAGACTGGCTGGACGCGCACCTCCACTCTTTCTTATCCTGAACTAATTTTCGCATTTCCCACTTCTTTAACTATTTTTAAACAATAATCTACCTCTACTCTTAATTCCTGTTACTGTTTCTAATATGACTAACCAGTCCTTCATGCCTGAGAAGGTGTCCTACAAACCTATCTCGTCTATTCCTTATTGACTTCCATAACGCGCTCTCTGTTCTCCTAATACTCCTTCTAATACCTCTTCATTTGTAACCCCTTTCTATCCACGGCACAGTATCCACGGTATATCCTCCCATTCGCCTGTAACACCACGTTTCGAACGGTTCTAACCTTTTCTTTTCCTGTCCATATTTCATTTATTCATTTGTTCAAAAGTGTATATTAGTCTACTTAAATTTAACAGAATTTAATTCCAAAGCTCTTACAGAACATTTACAATACATTACGTATCAACAGCTTTACTTCATCTTTTATGTAATGGTTCTCTATATATTTCTCGTTTTTTTTATTTATATATGTATACTAATTAATATATTTATAGGTATCGAGTAAGACTTGTTGTGTGAATAACCGCATGCCGCTGACAGTTTTCCTTTATTAGCAAAAACGAGTTTTCAAATTAATTGTTTGCGAATAGTCCAGTTCCTTTACCTTTTGTTTACATAGAATCGATGTTTCCATGTACAAATGTACATACCGACCATATAAATACACGGAAAACAGGCGCCTAGCTTCTTCCAACAGTAAAATAAATAATCTGTTAATATCTAATTAAACACGAAAAATGTCTTCGTCGTTTTTAGCAATTAGCTTCACTTTTATCATTTTAGCTAAACTTTTATAATTATTACACTCAATTTTACTAGAAGGATTCAACAAGGCTGAAGGACACATTCGCTGACCTATTACAAATTTTCTCTGTGACTAAAAATTATAGATTATATTTAATGCTTAAATCAAAACGTGGCTCATTTTTTTTATAAAGTTTATTTTTCTGTTACGTGTGAAAACAGCACCATAAATAGCACCCTTGAAATTTTGCGTCTCTGGGGGAGGTTAGGTTAGTTTAACAGCAGCGTAAATAACACAACTGTACAATGGGAGGGAGGTTAAAAAATTTACAACCTTACTGCGCTACTAAAATTCTCAAGACGGACACTTGCAGTCATATTCTGCGGGAATAATTATTTGAATTTTGATTGAGAATGTGTCTGTGCTTCGAGGGAGAGGAGGGGAGCGGCAAATTATACATATATTAATATTATTTTCATTGGATCGCGTAAGCATTGATGTAATAATTAGGTAATAAACATTAATTATTAGAATAATTTTAATCGGTAAAAAATAACACCAGTTCATTTTACTACACGAGAGTTACATGTGTATTTTTAATGTAAAATTTAATAACTAGATACATATAAAATGGTGTTGATATGTTTGAAGCGCGGCGTTCTACGGGTGCGAAACATGGACAGTGGGCGCGGCGGAAAAGAAAAGGTTATAAGCCTTCGCAATGTGGTGTTATAGGCGAATGATGAGGATAACGTAGGTAGAAAATTTTAAAAATGAAGAGGTGTTGGAAAAAGTAGGAGAACAGAGGACTTTATGGAAGTCAATAAAA